CGGCCAAGCGCGCGCTTCGCTCCAAGCCACACCGAAGTAGCCGGTCTTTCCCGATTAGGTATCGAACCTCGCGGCATGCCTTCACGACGGCTACCGGTCCGAAGTGGCCATATGTTGCTCTTCATCTCCGCATTCGGCATGACGTCACTCTACTGATGGACTTGGTATGTGCCCCTCGGTGAGGCAGCTTCTTGAGGAACAATGCAAAGCCCCTTGTACCCGTATGCCACTCTCGAATAGTCGTAGCATCCTGTGTAGTATAAAATCTGTCGTAGTTCTCCCCAAAAATAAAAGAGCTGTTCCCCCCCCCCCTCGAGTTCAGAGCTCATAAGTCGAGTTCGCCCCGCGTCTAAGCTTTCAACTGCGTCACTTCGTCCCTCGCCACGTAACTTTGAAACCTCGTCCACTGCGTTTACTCGTCGATACCGTCTCGACGAACCCTTCGACTTCGACTATTGTCGAAGAAACTGCTAACCGCGCCCTAGCTAAGTACACCCTATCGAATCGTGTCCCTTCTCTCTACGATACATCGAAGAGCTCTGCCGAGCTTCGATCGTCGCTAACTTTCCACAGCTTCCAAGTAGCTTCGACGACATGTCGAAGCCACCTCGTACCTACCCGTTTGTTCGTAACCTTTCCCAAGGGCGTTTCTCGTGTTCACTCGAACCGCGGGACACCTTGCTGCTAACTCCCCTCTCATTAGACTATAAGCCGTCTCTCTAGTCCCTTTAGGTCGCACCCAGGTTAGGGGTTAGGGTTTCGTAGGTCGTATCACCGGCCTCTGCTGCCCTAGGGACCTCAGTTTCGACCTCTTGTCCCTAGGTCAGTAAGCTCATGTACTTACTTACCTTTCTAATGCTAACTTACTTGTCCCTAGCCTTAGGTTTGAGCCTAGCTCACCATCGCTTCGGTGAGATCTAGTTGAACGCCCCCCGCTTTCAGGTATTCCCCTGTCGCTTGACCTCAAGTCGCGACACTGAGGTCCCTAGGGCAGCAGAGGCCAGCTTATATACAGAAGGAGATAAGGGCAGGCTGTGCACACTGGTCCGTGCACAGCTGGTCCATGCGCAGCATGCTGACGCGGCCCCGGGGGCCGGTGAGTCAGAGAGGCTGTGTCAGCGGAGCCCGAGCTGTGCCGTGCACTGCCACCCCATCTAATCTTATCGTACAGTAGATAACAATGCGTTCATATCAGGCAGGTAGTACAGAGGTCGCGGGTTCGAGCCCACGAAAAGGAAAAATTAAAAAACGGCTAGACGCTGTACCAACTCGTGACAGTGCCACAGCTGCTGGGGCAGTGGCCTGGTGAGTCAGAGAGGCTGTGTAAGCAGTGCTCATACTATGTGGGCTATGCTACACAACCATCTAATCTAATCAATTGAGGCAGCATGACCTGTCCATGTCAAGTGCTGCACCATATAGCAAGGTCACCAGTTTATATCTACAAAAGGGGAAAAGAAAAAGAAAAGAAAAAGAAAAAGAAAAAAAAAGAAAAAAAAAAACATAGTCTGTGTCATAGCAACTTATAACAGTTGAATGCCCCTGGGTTTGAAGTTTGTTCATGCCCCTGTCAATTGACTTCAAGTCACAATATCCAGGGTTGAACATGCTGTTTGATAAATCCAGGTTGAACCCAATCTTTGCTCTGTCTGTGTAGGTTCAATTCAGCTGGTTCATAGTTCGAAACTGGGTTCAGGACCAAACTTCGGAGATGCTAACTAATACAAGCTTGAGCCTTGCTTGCTATTGCTTTGGTAAGAATCAGTCAAACACCCTCAGTTTGATAGATTTATTCTTTTCTTGTTGCTGAACCTAAGTCACAACACAAACACCCTCAGCCTTATAGTTTTGTTTGTGTCTTGTTGCTTGACTCAAAGCCAAAAAACAATCCCAGTAAGGTTCTAACTATTAGTTCAATGTCTTCGACTATACAGTTGATTTATGCATGCCTTCCCAGTACAATAGATCCCCCTGCTGCTTCAGACATCAAACCACCACTGGTCTCAATCCCATTTCTCGCCTCCAAATAAAACATAATATCTCTGAGCTGTTCCTCCAAATCTTTTACCTTGTTCTGAGCTTCTGTTTTCTCTTTCATTGCCTGTTGTGCCTGTTGCTTACTCTTCTGCAAGTTTTCCATGAGCCCTTTGCTAACAGCACGTTCGTCTTGTAGCTCCTTCGCCAACTTCTGCGCAAGAGTCGTGGTTTTCTGCATTTTTGTCTGCAGCCTGACCACTTCTCCCTCGAGCTCGACGTGGCGCGCCTTTTCATTCGCCATGATCTTCGCTTCATTTTCACAACGCGTCACTTTCTCAGCCTCTAGATCACTACTAAGGCCCTCAACCAGACCCCTCAACGTCTCGATTTGCACTTGCAATTCGGTCGTCTTCTCCTCGTAAAATACGCGCTGAGAGTCGAGCTGTGAGGTGAGTAGGTACGAATATTCGATGCCGATCGCCTCGATTTTCTCAGCGCTCAGTGCATCCGCTGCACTTGGCCCGGCAGACTCTCCGCCGGCACGGCTACCGTTGATGCCAATAGCAGCAGAAGGAAGCTCCACAAGTTTACCGTCGGCCTTGTTCTGAATCAGGCGATGGACATAGCCATCGCCTGCGTAGTCCCACACGCGCTGGGTCTCCAGCTCAAGAGCGTAAAGATGGGTAGTGCGCGTGTAATGAGCGTGAGCATGCGCGCGGCCGTATCGACCACAGCCCACGTTGCCGCATATGAGACAGATCCAGAGGTTGCCAGTACTGCCACAGTCAGTACATTGCGTTGCAGTAGATGCCAAGCTGAATGGAATATGCTGCGAGCGTGTTCCAGTTGGAGGAGGATGTGATGAGAGAAGGGTTTGCGAATAACGGCAAACCGGACACCTAGTGGAACATAAGACTGACTCAATATCATTCGGTAGAGTGCGCACTCACCGGCTGTCGCCCCATTTACTCAGACAAGCACAATGGAATGTATGCGAACACGGGACAGTAACAAGCCCCGTCACAGCTGCATCCATACGTTCCAGGCAGACGGGACATGTTGGCAGCTCGTAGACGGACCCAGGCTCATGTGATAGGCTAAGCTTCGTAAACTGATGCGATAAGGAGTCGTCAGAGTCGATGACCACCGAAGCCACGCGTACAACGTGACATATCTCAGCCTGTGTCCCATATGTTACAAAGGAAGTAAAACATAGCGATGCGACTCACCTCCATCGAATTGAACGATTTACCATTGTAAACTTCTGCAAATTCCGTGGCTTGAATTACTTCTCTAAATTTCAAGAGGACGAGAGACCTGTTCGGGGCGGAATCCCTGATCATGGCGTGAGCTTCTATGGCACCAAATAGGGGATGAGTTGATCAGTCACCTAATCATCCGGAGAAGTGCAATGCCTTCAGCGGCTGGTGCGACAAACGCGAGGAAGTCCGATGGGGTCATCCACGATGGAACAGCGAGTACGGCCAGAACAAGACCGGTAGAGCAAGGGTCGGTTTCTGTACTCGAACCTTGCGGCTGCGAACCGTTATGCGACTGTGACACCGGAATACTCTCTGGAGCGTCCGCCGACGTGAGGTTGTCACGGTATATGTGCACGACCCCACCAGGTAAATGAGTTGTCCCCGATATCTGGTTAGGTGCAGGACGTGGAATGAATGTTGCGCTGAACGGTTCTCCTGTGTTGCAAAACGTAAGTATGAATTGTGCTGGAATACAAGGTCAGACGCACCTCTCTTGGAGCGGTTAAGTTCCTTCTCCTTCCCGGCTCCTGTCTTCTTGGGTGCGCTAAGGCTCATTGGATTGAAATGACAGTCTGACCAGTCTATGGTGATGGGTCCGAAACGGTAATCGTTCACGTCTGAGGGGGAGTCGTGCCGGTTATGACCAGGTGCAGTAAGAGTATAACGACGTGTGGGGGCTCTCCGGCTATGAGAGGGTAAAGACTCAAAGATTGATTTCGGAGTAAATGTGGGTGAATCTGGGCCAAGTGTGCGTTCACTGTAGGAGGTGGATGCAGTCGATGCGGGAGGAGGCGGCGTCTGCAGGGAGATGCGGATGTGATAGTTACGCATAAGGCGCGAGTTTCTGAAGTCTCGGTGTTTCAAGTCGCCAGAGTGTCGAAGAACGTTAGGAGCTATGAGTTGTAGCTGGTCGCTGTGGTGGACAAGGAGCGGCGGGCGTCTGACAAAGCCACTGGCGCATAGCGCATGTCATGCCCAAGCTAGCGACTCGCCTCACAACATGCTCCGGACGTTCGCCACCACCTCCATTCCTTCCCCGGCCCCGTTGTCTTCGGGCGTGCGTATATCTTTGACCGCCCCCCTCAGTCGTTCTGCTCTGTCCTCCATCCGCACCGGTCTCGAATTTGCCTTTTCAGAGCAAGAGAATGTTTTTGATCCTGCAGAGACTCATGCGGCCGTACTCATCCCGTTCTGCAACGTGAACAACGTCCCAGGAATTTTGTTCGAAGTACGTGGCAAGCTGAGGACACATTCGGGCGAGGTTAGGTATAGTGCCCTATCAATGCACAGGTTAGAACCGCACTCATGGAGCCCTTGCCAGCTTCCCGGGTGGGCGAATGGACGAGGCATGTATTTTCCAATAGCAAAGCCCTCATTTATACTCATGTGTTTTATCCTGCAGTCTGACGTAGACACTCTGTCAGCTGCGTTGCGTGAGACAGAAGAAGAAATTGGCATACCTCGGGACCGAGTTGAGATCCTAGGCCGTCTAGGTCCCCCTCAAACCTCCCTGAGCGGCTTACGAGTCTGGCCATATGCTGTCAGTTGAACGCATTATACAGTGCGCTGCGTTGAGCCCAGCACTCAATGTCGCCGGTTGTAGCGCCCTCGATGAGCTGACTAGCCGCCGCCAGGGGTTTGTCCATGCTGAAAGCCGGCCTTCCTCGATGGCCAGTGGCACTTCGCCCGTGACGTACCCTCCGACGTCAGAGTCCACGGACGAATTCCCACTTCCTTCACTCTCGCTTGCGGACTTGAGACTTAATCCCCAAGAAGTCGCGCACGCTTTTCATTTACCTCTGACAGCACTGGTGTCTCCACCGCGACTACACTCCTACCTTTTTCGTGGTGGACTCCCATATTATGCGGTCAGTGTGGCAGATATCGTCGCTGGTCCCGGAGCCGTTCACTCGGATAGTGATGCGCCTGTGCACTGGGTAAACGACATCGCGCAGCGCGACGAGATCGGCGGTGGACGCGAGGGGCGACTGGAAGTCTGGGGACTGACAGGATGGTATCTTTGTGAAATCATGCGCATTCTGGGGGTGTACCGTCCACATTCTACCGAACGATCAACTCCCCCGTGAGATTCAATGCTCATCGCTCCTCTGTATGCATTGTCAATCGAGAGGTTTCCTATAGACTGTCGCAACTCTGCTAGAAACGTTTCCACGGTACTGTATAGCTGCTGTCAATGTGAGTGTGTTGACAGACTATGATCCACACTAGTGATATTACACTAGGTAAGTGCATCAATGGGGCGCAATAAGCTTTCTGATTACACATACACAGATCTTCTAGGTGCGTTCTTTCCTGTGTTTCGATGTAAGCCGTCGCCCTCGTGAAAGCGGAGGTGTAAGACGTGCGTCGTGTCATTCAGGTTGCAATCTCAACACCTCCTGACTGTCTTCATGTGAGGTTTGGCGGACCCTCTTTCTCGTGCCCAGGCTGCCGCTGTATCACAGAGTCCGTCGGCAACGGAGGCGAAGCCTAAGCAGACCCTCGGACAACACGCAACGCGGTGTGCGCTTTTTGCGCTTGGGTGCGAGCCTGAGCCGGCATGCTAGTGCCGTCTTTACGAGCTGATCCGTCTCACCTGGACCTTGTGTATTTGGACGTGGCCCGCCCGCTCTGTCGCACGCCCGTTGACTTTGTCAGGCCCCACCTAGTACCCAAGCCGTCGGTTGTCAATACACCGATCTTCTGCGACTGAAATGTGCTTGTGGCATTGCTTTTACTGCCTCTACAGGTACTTGGAGGGCGCGATGTCGAATGAAAGCAACACTTGCTCATTCTGTTTCGGCGTGGTATCGATGTTTACCATTCAAGGCTACTGTGAATCGCAAGTCGATCGATCGTGAAGGCAATTATTGATCGGGGTGTCACGAATATGCGACCAGACTTGGTTGGCCCGGGAGGAGCAGGTGAAAGCTACCCGGGCATCCTGCCGATTCCCTACGACATTGGACACAACACCTCCGCCAAAAGCACAAAGGGCTCGTTGTCTGTGCACGAGCTCGACAACGAAGGGCGCTCGTGCTTCCCGAGCGCGGTTGCCGCTGTCATCCGGCACCGCATTCGGTCCCTGTTGTATGTCTAGGGTACACCATAACAGTGCCACAGTGGGCACAGCCGAGTCGTGAGTTCAATGCTTGTATGGATATCCTCGTTATCTAGAAGCTCAATTGTAAATGAAGCCTCATGTACTTGCCCACAGTGTACGTGAATGATCTTGTGTGGTCGTGGCGTCCTGCGAGGCTATGCAAGCCGGGTGATGGCAGCTGTGCTGCCATCCAATCGCCAGCGTTCTTTAGATCCGTGACGCCTTATTCTGGCCATCGGATCTCGATCCGTGTGGTCGTAAACTGTCCCTTTAACGTGCGTTACTCTGTCCAGAACCTAATGCACAGCCGTCCACCTCATCTATAGGTCTCCACCAGAGCTATCTCTCCCAGATACTTCTCTTTCGAATTCCCGGTACCGCCTTGAACAGCCCGGAATGGCAGGAAGTGGACATGTGCGGCTCCGGTGCCTGCCACTGCCACTGGTGAGCGAGTCAGTCTGTCGCTGCTTGCAATTGGCTGAACAAACAGACACGTCTTCTACGTTATGCATTCCGGCGTCCCGGACACCCCAATCCATTCCCAGCGCTCCTTGTTCTGTCCGGCGAGTACGCACATTACTGCGAATCCCCTCATAGGTGGTACCTGCAAACGCTTCACGTGAGAAAGGATTCTCTACGAGCGGTGCTTCCTACTCTAGAACGACTCAAACTAACATCCCGACCGCCGCAGCGGGCAATACCGCGACTTCTTGCGAGGCTCGGGCGGTGCTGCACCCCCCCAACTATCTGGCGCTTATCCCTCATGTATATATAAGACTTCTCTATTCTCCACACTGCTTTCCCCCTCGTCCTCCTTGGGAACAGTAGCTCGCCATGAACACCTCACATCTCTTCTCCCCGAGTCATCAGTCTGAGTGAGTACCTGGGCTGCAGATGCATCCGTCAGCTGACTTCCTACTTGTAGACGTCCACCACCTAGCCCTGGCGCTTTGTCGTCGAAGTCGAACGAAGGTGACTCTTGGTGTGACGATATGCCCACACTCCCCTCTACATCGGGCCTAGCACACGACCTGCCGTCTGACGTAATGGTGAGTGCCTTTGCTTTATGACTGCTCCTAAGTGATTTATGAACATCAGCAGCCGCACGAGCTATTTGCGCTCCCAGAAGAAGACGCCTTGGCTCCCGGAAGCTACAGTGATCCATATCACTTGCTACGGGATACAGCCCTGCAATTTGATTACTCGGGCCTAAACACCCCTCCTCAAGGGTCGCTACTTCTCGATCCTTTGACGCCACAACGGGACTACGGTGATATCTCATACCTTCAACCGCCCTCCTCCGGCCTGTATCCTAGCTACGAACCTCAGTCATATAGTCCGAATGTTCGTCGTCATTCTCCGATTTTCATCGATACCAACTCGTCGCACTCCCCTTCCCTGCTACAAATTCCGTCGGACAATCTGCGTACCCCCTACGACCAAACTTCGCCCTATGGTCGTCGTCCTAGTTTGACCAATACTTCCCAGTCAAGCCCAATGCTCCCAACGACGCCCGGCATCTCACCGATGGTCAGTCGTAGAAACAGCCCCTACTTGGCCTTAACTCCAGTCTCTCCAGCCTCGTCTTCTCTGGTAAGTCGCAAAGAGATGCCTTGTATCGAATGGATTGATTGGACGCTATGCTGTCCAGTTCCCATCACCGGTAAAGTGCGAGCCTCACCCCAGGGTTGGACAGACATCAGCCCCTCTGCATTCTGTGATGCAGATTGCGCAATCCACCCTTGGTCCTGCGGACCCTCCCATGGTGCCGCAAAAGACGTATCGGCCCCACACTCAGAGCGATCGCCGCCGCTATGTGGAGGACGTTGAACTCGAGGCACCCATTATGTTCTATCTGTTGAGTCCGGACGAATGTGGTGTGCCTCTCCGAGAAGCCTTAAACGGCCGATTCATGAGGCTTTCCGGTCGCGATGACCTGATGTTTGAGAACCGCGGACCGTCCGTTTCTATCAGGCTAATGGTAAGCGGATCGCAGCACAGATACTCTTCAAGGAGCTGGCGCTAAATTTCATGCGTTGATTACAGTGGCCTGGCTATGCTCCCTGGAGCCGACAGATTCCGACGCGTGATTTCCGGAGCCCTCCAGGCCCCATTACCCGCTCGAAACTGGCGAAGAATGTGGCGAAGACCATTCAACGCTTCATCGAGGTCCGTTAGTAGCCATGATTGGTCGACTGTCGTTGACAATACTCCTTGAAATTCTTAGGAGGTGCAGGATCGTCCCCTCGAGGAAGACGCTGACACTCGTTGGCGAGTAGGCGCACGCCGAATAATCGTGGATGATCTCATCCTTGTCGGGCTTCAGCATGTGTCCATGGGCAGTTGGCAGGCTCACCTTCGCCTCCGCCGTCACCTGAGCCAACTTTCATGAGACTTCGCTCCGAGGACTATACAGCTGGCAACTGCAACGCCTGCCCGCAGGACCGGCCCATCCTCTTGGATGTGTATTCTTCAATACTGATTCACCCGCCCTAGGTGCTCTAGTCGTCTGTCCAGGACAATCATATATGGCAGTTCTCGTCGTTCCATTCTCATTCCTCGTTCTCCGCTTTGAAGCTCCCTCTTGCTGTCCTCCTGCTTCGCCTTGGTTCTGTCTCTAATAGTTGACCACGAATTTCCACGATTACACTGATACCTACAATACCCTCGCGGAATGGAATGGAAGTCTCTTTGCCCTATGATATGCATTCGGGGATTGTCTCGCCTCAGGCCAGTGACAATGCGATACGGAGAATATTCAAAAAATGCCCAGATGTCCCATGTTTTAACTAAAGGAAGCGTCCCCAGCCGTCACCAGTATCAAATTACTGGTTAAAAGAGCTCGACCTCAAGCTTTCTCTCGCTGCAGATTGTCGGGCTGAGCATCCAATCCTTTGCGCTACGATGACCATGCAAGTCAAGAGTTCACTGGGTCTGTGTCGTTATTCTTGGTGTTGGCATGACAAATCATGGGCTGCTGAAGACCCACATCTAGCACAATTATCGGAGCATCGAGAACATCAAGGACTACAATAACCAAGAGGATATAAAATATGAATAATGTTCATCCGTCTTGTACCCATGTGCAATGCGCTATGAGGCAGCAGTCGCATCTGGATCCCGATATATCTAGATTGAGCAATATTCAAGCAGCATCAGATGTGTTTGCACTTCAATGCAGTAATCGTACCTTGAGGTCCCATATTCGCCCTACGGACATATCCTGCCGCGGGGTATCACTTGTTGGCTCGTTCTGGGTCTCAAGTTTCAATCCCTGCTCGTTCGCCAGGTGCAGAAGACAAATGAAGCAAAAGCTTGTGCTGATCTCGTCCATCTTCTCCTTCGGGTATGTCTTCTGCAGGTCGGTAATAACAGATGTAAATTGCCGAGCCTCTGAAGGATCCGTTGCGATTCGGCTATCCGTATCCTGGTGGAAATTCGCATTAATTGAGGCTCGCAACGATTGACGCGCACGGGGTGTGCAGCTTACCATCGCATCCTCATCCTCGTCGGGAGGCGGCGGTACGACAATGTCAAGGCCTTTCCAGATGTTTTCTTTGAGCTTTCGTACGTCCACCCTCTTCGCTCTCTTGGCATAATTCACGGTCTCTGGCCGTACACGTCGAGTCTGGCCCTGAGTCGCCGCTAGCAAGTCTTGCTCTCCGGGTTCTATACTGTCGCCAGGCTCCCCGCCATCAAAAACATCGTCAAAGCCGGGTCCATCATCATAGTCGTCGTGAAAGAACTGCGTATTGAAGGGTATAGCGCCTCCGTTAGCGGCTATAGGCGGCCAGTTCAGCCATGATCCGCGAAAGTATAGGAGAAAATGAGCCACCCACTTTCATCACCGTCATCCCCGCTACGACCTGCAGCTTGATCTGCTGCCGCCTGTGCCCAGAAATTCTCATCTATCTCGTCTGACTGACCTGGACGAGCACGACGCCCACGCATCTTGAGCTACCCGTGTAACCGCTCAATATTTTGTTCACGCAGTAGTAGCACAAGGGCACATACCGAGAATTTGGGTTTAAGGAACAGAGTCACAAGCTGTCGGCTCGAGAAATGCATGTCGTCCGGCAGCGTTTGATCATGACGTCTGTCCATCTCCGTATCCTTGGCCTTCTTACCGCGGGACCCTTTGCGACCAGGCGCCTTGCGTGACGATGGTCCAGGTAGAGTGATGCCCGTACCACGAGTCACGGGCACGAACAACTCCTTAGCTAGCGCTTTAGAGTCCTTGGCCGATGGCGTCAGGAAGTCTATCTTGAATGCTTCTTTCTTTTCCCGCTTAGCTTTCGGAGCCGTTGCTTCAGGGGCATCCGCTAGAGATAAAATTAGTCTAGAGGCCGGTATAATCAAAAACCGATGTAAATGCTCACGTCTTCTTACCACCTTGCGCAGCTTCCAATGTTCGGGTCCGGCCCAGTTCTTCAAGAAGGTCTGATCGAAGTAGTCCATCATCAGGCCATCTCCAGCTTCGCCGTTGTCCGTCATGGCCATGACAAGATCGCGTTCATTGGGAACTCGACGAGGGTCGAAAGGTACGAAATCATTCGAACCGCCAGCACCTCCTGGTGCGACTGCGTCCTCCGACTGACTTCCAGCGTCGAAATCATCTCTTGGACTCGAATTGTCGCCCACATAATCATCGCCCACGGCCTGGTCGCCGACGAAGAAGTCCTCTACGGGGGGTGCATTTGCATCGCCGTCCATGTCCATGAGTTGCACGTCGACGATTGCATCATTGTCATCAAATGGTTCAGGGTCGTCGTCATCGTCGACATTGTGGACAATCGGTGGATCGTCGCGGAAGAAGGTGGTATCGTCGAATGAGAAGGTATCTTTGGAGAAAGAAAATCCTTCTAACGAGTGAGAGATGGCCTTCTCGTTGAGTATTTCAAGTGAAGGAAGAAACTGTTCTGTTAGGGGTTCTCATTGAGCTGATTTCGTACCAGAAACAAGGAGGCTTCAAGTACTCACTTCGCAAGTAGCTGAAGTCCACTTCATCTTCCGGCTCCTCCAGTGGATCTTCATCCTCACCACCTTTACCCATTGAATCACTAGCATCAAACACAACGCGCAAACTGCCCTCAGAGCCAACCCCGAGGCTGAGATGGTTCATGAGCAACCCCTGTGCACCACCTTCATCAAAATCCGCGCAGGTCTTCCGGAATAAGGGGTCCACGCTGAATTCGAGGTCGAGCTTCTTGTTGCGGAGTTGCGCAGCAGATTTAGCGAGCGTCGACTCTGCCCGGTGGGTTTTGCGCTTGCGTTGCCCCTGACTTGGGTCCTGACCATCGAGGTTGTCACCATCTGCACCCTCCTCTAAATCATCGTCTGTCTTGCCTTCGGTGGCCAAGTTGCTCAAAAGTTTCCCGGTCTCCGTCCCAACGCTGTCCACACGGCTCGTCCAAATTTTGACACAGCCATCAAGAGTGCACGACGCTCGTTGGAAATTGATCGAGTTGTCGGTGTTGTTACGCAGTAGAGACATATCATGAAAGTAATCAATAAGCGCAAAGTTCCATGAATTGGCTGCATTGATTTTCTGCGCGATAGTCAATTGAGGCAGAGTGTGCAGAACGTGGCAAGCGTACATTGTCTGTGGCCATCTTCATCCATTCTTCAAAATTTGAGCTCATAACATCGAGTGGGACGTCGATCACTGGAGCCTGTGCTACAGAGAGAAGCTGTTGTTTCTGTCTAGCCTGCGCGGCTGCACTAGACCCCTCGGGTGGCCCTTCTCCTTGCCCCCCCTCCGAAGACGGTCCCGCTTGGTCGCCATCAACTAAAACCATTGACACTGCAGTCTTTGCGCTCTTTCTTCGCCTCCGCTTCTCCGCAGCATCGTCGTTGATATTCACCGACTTGAGTGGGGCACGTCCAGATTCTGAAGTAAAGCTGTCGTCGTGGTCTACTCCGTAGACATCGCTCAGGCGCTTTTTGGACATGGTGCGGTGGGTTGGTCTGGGCGTCTCCTGCTCGGGATCCGTGTCTCCGCCATCGGAATACGCGTCGTTCGCCGTTCGCGCGGTGGCACGGGAGGGACGCGTCGAGGGCATTTATGCAGCAGATGGTAGTTCACGTTCAACAGCAGTTGCACAACGCGACGCGTCCGACGCGCTCCACGTGATATGCAGCCAATGAGAGCGCCACTGAAGAGCCACAATCCTGACGTGGTTCGGCCGCGACGAAACCAACATATCACTCGAGTGTCATCGCACGGGCACATAAGATCGCTACTTGGCTGTACAATGCCTACTAGAGATGGCGAGGACTCTGGCTTCGCAGCTTTGCCACTCCGGCTTCGCAAGCGCATTGATCAGATTTTCGATACAGCCTCCTCTTCTCATGACGATTCTGTAGTTCCTGCAGCGAGTGTTCGTGTCTTTACCCCGATTCAAGCTGTGACAATGCTTAGCTGTAACGCATCTGCAGGCTAGCGCAAGGTCCCGAAATGATTCTCCTGAGGATGTGCAACCTGGAGGATTCCTTATGCCAGATGAGCAGCCGGGTGGCTTTCTACTGGATACAGACAGCCTAGGTGGCTTTACGTCCGACAATACGGGAGCTGGGGGTCTCATTTCGGAAGATATTGCTGCAGGTGGTTCCCTTCATGAGGAGCAGATACAGCGCAATCAAATCCCACTGTCTCTCATTCCCACCGCACTGCAGCTGCTTGACCTTCCGCCTGATGACGCAGACATTCTCTCCGTCTTCAAAAATGCTGCCTCTGGGTGGACAGACACTGTGCCTAGAGCGTCAAAATCAGCCGACGCTGACTACGAGCAGTTCGTCTCTCGCAAAGATTGGCGAGCCGTCTGTGCCGCACTATTGGACACCGGTTTGGACTCGCCCACTGACTCCGAACATGAAGATGCCGCTGACACCTTAGACACCGACAACGATGTCTCAGAAGACGAGTACATGGCCAGCAGTCCGGAGGATTCCGATGATGACATGGGAGGATCTGACGACGAGTATGTTGAGGGCGGATTCATTCCCACCAAGACGACGACGAAGACCAAAGCTGCAGCCCAACAGACCGGCCGCAGGAGTTCTCGGAAGACCTCCAAGGCCGTGTCATCAATAGACTCCGAAGAAGAAGCGCTTGATCCCCGCCGTCCTCATCCCCTCACAGAGCGCCAGAAGCAGGAATGCCGTCGGACGTTCAGTCTCTTCTTCCCGGATATCAAGGATGCCGACTTGGATAAACGGCGGATCATGATCAAAGATATCACGCGTGTGGCCAAGTTGCTCAAGGAGAAGATCACAGCGGAGGAGGTGAGCGATCGCATGCTCGTATCTGACAATAGTGGTTTATTGGCAACTGCAGACCGTGGAGATGCTGGAGGCCTTTTCGAGCTCGTCGGACAAGTCGATGAGCCTGCCGGACTTCGAACGTATGATGATTACGGCAAAGCTGGCATGAGTTCTCCACCTATTTCCATCTACGGTGAGTTCTGCCATCGCGACGTTCAGCGGCTTTTCACCGAAGCTCACCTAGCGCCTGTATATCCTAGATATCTTCTGGTCAGGATCAACAGCTTCCCCGAACACAGTCACACAGGCCGCCGACAGGTGTGGTTCGAGAGCTCATCGCCCTGCAGAGTCTTAGCGGCGTGTCTGCCATCCGACGATGCATCTGCATAACTGGCTTTACCGTAGTGCCCGGAGGCCAAGAGCGTGGATAACGGGGCACCGCCGTGCCCCGAGCGAGACGCGCGGCAGCACCACACCCGACTGGATATCGTGCGATTCCTGATAGCGGCATAGTGCATGCGCGTCCGTGTATGCAGTAGATACGGTGAACCTCGAGGGATAGATGCGCGTGTAGATACCTCCTAGCACGTTTTTCCCCTTGAAGCTAAGCTCTCAGGCGCGTTACCGCATGCGTAGAGTCAGACCCGGGGTCCTAATGAGTATATATGCATTACGGTGTAACCGCAGCGCTAGTGTGGCAACGTTCGCACATCACAACTGTGGTGGGCCCCAATATCACTCATGTGAGTTGAAAGTTGGTTGAAAGTGCAATTGTGCGCACTTCAGAGCATTCTTCATTTAGTCTACCCCGGATGTTATTGTGGTGCATATTCTCATACTTCACTCACAGCACATTCAGGAAGTATTAATGGAATCAGAAAAGGCGTCACATTGCGTGGATTAGTACTATACAAAACTCGTATACTTGCTACCCGACGTGAGATGGAATGCACAAACAGACCCATGCGTGGATGACCGACAGCGTAAGAAAGGAAGTAAATGAGGTACTCGTTACACATTAAGCGCTTCGTGAGTGATGTGATATACCGACGTCAAAGACATCATCCGTCCGCAGCGAGCGGTGAGCATACAGCGTACAACAACACGGAAGATACGGAAGGGCAGAAGAACTCCCCGAAAAACCGGCCGCTTAGACCTTTTCTTGCGACGCCTTCTCGTCCGAGTGCGCGGGAGCGTGGTCCGCAACGTGCACGTCGTTCGCGATAAGCTCCTCGCGGTAGCGTGCGGACGTAAGCGGCGTCGAGTTCTGGTAGAGCAGGTCGATCTGCTCGAGCGACAGGCCCTTCGTCTCGGGGATGCAGAAGTACACGAAGATGCCCGCGCCAAGGCAAGTAGAGCCCCAGATGAAGAACACCTTCGCCTGCAGACCCGCATTGCCTGGACCGGTGTCGACGAGGTACGGCGTCATGTAGCTGATCGCCCAGTTCCAGAGCCAGTTGGACGCGACGGACATCGATATGGCCTTCGCACGAACGTTGAGCGGGTAGATTTCACCCACGACAATCCAAGCTGGTGACATAAACGTCAGAAAAGGCAACCCATCAACTGAGATCGAAACTCACCAATGGGACCCCATGTGGAAGCGAAGGCGGCAATATAGATGCAGACCAACGCAATCAGAGCTTTCTGACCAGACTGATCGGTGACGGAGATAGTGACACCAATGATAGCAACGAGGAATTCACAGATGGTCATCACGACCGCACCCCAGAGCAAGAGAGAACGACGACCGAAGTGCTCGACGCCCCACATGCCTGGGAGCGTCATGAACACATTGACAATGTTCGTTGCCACTGAAACGAGGAAGGGGTTGGAGATACCCGAGTTCTTGAAGAACGTGGTGCCGTCTGTGGACGACGGTGTGAGTTACGGAGGAAGGTTCACAGACGAAGGGGACAACTCACAGTAGAAGATGAAGTTGATACCCGTAAGCTGCTGCCACGCCTGGATGAAGATACCAGAGAGGGTACGGAGGATAATTTTATTGTGTGAGGGGCGGAAGCAGTCGAGATATGAGCTCTCGCCGGAAGCCTTCTCCTCCTCGAGGCCTGCACGGATATCGGCCAACTCCAGCTCCAGCTCCGGGTCAGTTGGGCCGTAGCCAGTGAGGCGGGAAAGCGCAGCTGCGGCTTGTTCATCTCTGCCCTGCTTGACCAACCAACGAGGCGACTATGACATAAAGTAAGCAAGAGCAGCAAGGGAGGATATGATGGACACTGACCTCGGGCAGGAAGATCATGCCGGTGCAGAGGATGAATGCCCAAATGAACTGGATGGAGATGGGAATGCGCCATGCGGCGTGGCTGTCACGGTTCTTGGTCGCGTTGTTGATGACGGACGCGAGCAGGAGACCGATGGTGACGGCCCACTGGTAGCCGGCGACAACGGCACCTCGGATCCACTTGGGGGAACACTCGGACTGGTACATGGGGATGAGGGTGGAGACGAGGCCGACACCCAGACCAGCGAAGACACGGCCGACGACAAAGGTCGCTATGTTGGAGGAGCCTGTCTGGAGAGCGACACCGAGGGCAAAGACGAGACATGAGAGCTGGATACCGAGGCGACGACCAATGATATCGGCCACGGGCGCGCCGAGAAGAGCACCTGAGAAATGGGATGAGTACACACGGGAGGCGATGTGCAAAAAGAGCAGCTCACCGAAGAAGGTACCAGCCGATAGGATGGAAACGACGAGGGATGACCGCTTGGATGGAAGATAGTAGCCGTTGGTGCAGCTGTCAGCGGCGAGGTCCGCAGGACATGGGGTACCGAAGAGGTGAAGCCAGTCGGACATTTCGATGATACCAGAGATGGTACCGGTGTCATAACCAAAGAGAATACCACCAAAGGCGGCGAAGGCGGTCATTGCAATACCGGCAGCCTTGTTCCTTGGGGCATTGGCACCAATGCCGCCACCTGCTGCGACGGGACCACCAGCCATCGTCAAAGCTCGTGCGAAGGAGGTGGGAAACGGGAGGGGCGAAGGGAGGTTCTGCGCGGGGAAGAGGTGGCGACGAACGACGGGGAACGAGAGGGGGGGACGGGCATGATTTATAGGCTGGGGGAGGGCGACCGGATGTGGCAGACCAAACTTGCGCCAAACAAGGGAATGGCATGGCCGCATGGATGGTCTGATGCCATCGACGCGCCATCTGAGATCTCCCCAGGCACAGGTGCTTGCCATCCCCGCCCCCACATTTCTCCGGACATCCCCTCGCTGGCCCCGCTCTCCATTCCTCCTGCTGTTCGCTGTGCTCGCTTGCTGTGTCCTCGCCCAATGGCCGCGCATGCACATCTGCGCACACCCCGCACCTTCATGATCTCCTATGCGCCCCTTGCAAGCGAATCCATGCCACCCGGATGTGCTCCGGACCTGGCACGCCATCCCCTTGCGCCCGCGCGTCCAGAATGTCCCCACCATCAACGTCTCGCTCGCTCGATACTCGCCCTGTACTCGGAAAAAGGCAGTCGCCCTCTCTCGGCGCCTTCCCGCCGCATCGTCCTGCCTCGCTTCACGCAACGTTCCGCGTTCTCGGATCGTGGTTCCCGCCCGCTTCATCTGTTCGGGCGCCCACAATGCCCGACGTGGCGGTTACCATCCAGGTACCGGAGCGGAACCCGGCACGTTCACGCGTCGTCTCCATTCCACCGTGTCACTCGACGCGTGCATGGGTGCTCTCGTCGTGTCTTGCATTGCCATACGCGTCCTGTGTGCACCTCAGTCATTTCCGCGACGCCGTCATTCGCCAGGAGGACGCATTCGAAACACTCCAAGAGCGTCGATCGATCGAGGCTCCCCAAGGTTGGAGCTCCGCATCAACTTCGATCATGGCCCGACATACTGGCTCTCTTCTTCCATTGGCTCCCCTCGATGAAACTGTACTCAACGCCGCCAGAAGTGCCAAGGATTGTTTTTCCACCAGAGTATGCAGATTGCGAATCCGTCGGTTCATATCTGTGGTGCATGTGCATGAGCGCGGGAAGCCTGTGGCTCTGAGACGTTGACAGCTTGAGACCCGCGGAGCCTCGAAGAGCAAATCAAAGTTTCCTCGACAGGCCGCCTGACCCATCGGCCAACAAACGTCGCGTTTCACGGTGGCGGAGTAGCGCCCGGATTGTCTCCATGTGCATTCTCTCCGCCGCCACGACGGATGTTCCTTCCGCAGCCCGAGTCACCGCTGCCCTCGTCGCCGCGAAACGTTTGTCATCTGCGCACGCCGTTCTGCCCTTGGGGCAAAGTATGCAGCCAGGGGAGAGGCCATGGTCGATTGGTCGGATTCGATTGCCGCCCAATCTCATCAATCTCTTTGATAATCATATTCGGTCCTTATTTCGGCCAGTCAGGTGCTTGCTGTGCCACACCCGGCCGGGGCTCTCTGGCTTTGTCCCATATTTGTCCCATATTTGTGCGATACAAACATGGATCAATACACTGGTGGCTGTCACTTGTCACCGATCTTGCACTTGATGCTAGTGTCTCCGCCCATCTCGCCCACGTCGCTTAGCCATGTTCTTTTCGTCCCTGACGTACTAACAAAACTCTGGCCATACTAATGAGTTTGCTAAATCCTGACGATCAGCTACCATGTCGACCATGAGCGCGGGCTTGCTTGCTCGATAACAAGTCGAACTTCATCTAGAGGACATCCACTGGATATAAAAAACATCATGTTTGCCTTGAGGTGAGCCAGACTGCCCACATTCCTTTGTGACCAAATGTCTGACGAGTCATTCCCGCCAATCTTTTCACCGACGCGCTCCAACACCCACGATCCCTATGGGCAATTGCCCTGGATCCGGAGGATTCGTTCGACAAAGAACACTATTCTTTCGTTTGAAGGACGCCAGCTCTTTCCGTGGTTCTGGTAAGTACTGAACATTTTTTTTACTCGATTATACTAACATCTACAGGCCTGTGAACAATCGCGGCGAGAGAGTCACTCCGGACGAACTCAATGACCATCGCCTCACGCATGAATTCCGAGGGCCTGGATGCCTCTGCGCATCTCGCATCCAGGCCCCTGATGCTTTTACAGAAGCCCGCATCTTCTGTGCTGAGAGCGGCGTTGTCACAGGTCAATGGGTTGCCGCTTGCGGCAGGGGGGAGTGCAAATATTTTGGTGAGTATTCACACTCTGTACATATAGAACGAATTGGGCTCACTTCAATGCATACAGTTCGTCTAGAGCCTTTTTACATCAAACTGGGGCACCCGATCCGTCGCTACGACCGTCGTCGTAAGTCCGTGAAGATG